TGTAATCACCAGGATGCTCTAGGTTCTGCGGCTGTCACAAGCAACCTTGAGATCTCGGTTGCTCAAAGGACATGGCTATTCCCGCTCGAGCTAAGTGTCCCCCGGCAGGGCACCCTGCTTCACACAGTCACTCGGGGACGCAGGGTGGTGTGGTTTTGCCATCTTGTAGCCACACCGCCTATGAGTGTGGCCTCTCAGCCACGGCAGCAAGAATAGAAAGTGCTGGAGGGTCTCCTCACTAGCAGTTAAATGCTGCAGATAGGAAGAGATGCGTGTCACTCCCTCTCACAGCCTATTGGCCAGAACCGGGCCCCCAGCCTCTCTAGTGGCAGGGGGCAGGAAGCGGGGCCCTCGCAGGTGCCCGGAGGGAGAAGAGAACCAGACGTGGCGGGGCAGGGAGTCCTCTGGCACATCTGCTCAAATCGTCCCTCTCGTGGAGGGCACTGAGCTCAGAGATGTGTGATCACAGACAACCCTCTGTCCTTGGAAAGGTGACTCTTAGGAAAGGCGCGTGAAGGGTCTTAATTTGTTTCCGTGGGCCAGAAAGGGCAAATCTCAAGGGAGGAAGAAACAGAATGAGAGGCAGGCCCATGCCTGGGAAGGGGGACCGAGCCTGGGAGTCAGGAGACCCAGGTTCTCACCCTGCTCCTGACGTGATTCTGTGGGACCTCGGGCAAGTCACTTAAGCTTCCTGACCCCCTTCCCCTGCCTCACGGCACAGAGCGGGCAGGCTGGAGGAGTGGGAGGCCTGGCCGCTCTGACGTCCTACGGTTCTACAAGGGACCGTGCCCTCTGACCTCAGGGCCACCCCCAGCTCTTGGGCGTGGAGGAGGTTTTCCACCCAAGAAACCCCCATAGGCAGAGCGGCTCAGGAAGGACACCGCGCAGAGGTTGGCCCACCCGCAAGCCAGCTCAGCCAGCACTGACGGAGGCTACCGGGTGCCTCTCCAAGCCCCATCCGAGCACCCAGACCGGAGTGGCCCCAGTGACAAGAAAGCCATTTGTCACCCAGTTCCATGTCACTGCAAGTGCCCCGTCCACTTTCCCTGGGTGGCCTTTAGCAATACCTCGAGAAAGCTCACATGTGGAGACTCCCAGAACTTTAACTCTTAAGTAAATGCCCAAAGGACCACCACCAGGGTATTCCCAGGGCAGCAGTGACCTGATAGAGCCCAAGGGGTCTGGAGGGTGGGCCAGCGCCCCTCGCCGCCCTCCCCGGCTCCTGACGAGACCTGACCAGAGCGGGGCCGGCTCCTGCGGGGAACGCAGCCTCTCTCCCTGGTGCACGGTCCCCTGGCCACCCGGGTGGACACCCTTTGCAACAGGCCAATGAGAAGACCCCAGAAGGCCAGTGAGAACCGGGGTCACATGGCAGAAGTTCCGTCTCCCATATGTCCCCTTCCTTCTAGACTGGGATTATGCACATGTGCAGAAAAACGTGACTTCACTTGTTTTCAGTAACGGCTTTTCATCTCACTCCCTGCCCCAAGTCCTGTGACAGCGGGACCCCCGATTTTGCCATTGAGGCTACCCGGTCATTTCCAGGCGAAAGCTTAGTGTCTTTTGGGACTTCTTGCCCATTTTCAAGGATCCTCCCTTCTTCCTTCCCGTGGTAGGGTCTGGGGTCAAGGGGTCCACGCAGAGCTGGGGGCAGAGTGATGCCTCGCGAGGCCCCCACTGACCTCTAGTCCGGGCGTCACTCACCCCCGGTCCCTCCCTCCGCGTCCCCTAATGAGTAGCATGGCCGTGGGGTCTCTGGGCGTCCTGCCTCAGCGTCTGCTGGTCCTTGGAGCATTGTGCTGTGCTCACTGGTTCTGGTTCCACGAGTCCACACCATGTGGCCTCCCCGTCCAACTCAGGTCGCTGACAGACTCCGGCCCGTCTGGGCTTCCCAGAGCCTGCAGGCTCTCTGGGCACCTTGCCAGAGATGGTGGGCCCGGCAAGCTGCCTCAGGCCCACTAAGCGGACCTCTTCCCTTGGCCGTGACTCTCCAACACTCTGCATCCACCTCCTGCTCCGGGGGGGGTTCTCCACGTTGAGCCTAGAAAACGTGGAAGGAGCTCCCTGTTTGGGTTCTGACCCTGGGAAGTGAGGGACAGCTCACATTGGCCCTCTCCCCTCCCTCTCTCCACCAGGACCCTCATCCCGACCCTGAACGCCCTCCCTTCCCCCGTGGCAGACACTGCCCCCCTCCCCACCTCATGGATCACCCTCCCGCCAGTCCTCCAAGCTTCGGCTCTCGGAGATGTGAAACCCAGCTCTGGAGGCGTCCTGAGAAAATAGCTTTTCTCTTCAGAAAGCCTGGCTCGCAAGAACATTACCTCACAATGAGTTCTTATTTTTAAAGGCCAGTTGAAACTCAAAGTAGAGCAACACTCCTTTGTTCTAGGCAGTACCAGCCCTCACTTCCCTGGAGTGAAAGCCTCATGGCCTCGTCTTCAAGTTCAAGGATCCTGCGAGGGATTGAGGAGGTGGGAGGAGAATCTGAATTTCCAAGAAGACAAAACACAAGTGATATTTCAAAGTAGTGTTTTGCCTGCCTTCCTTCCCTCCCTCTTCCCTTTCCTCTTGTCCTTAGTTGGACATTGGTTTACTTCCACCCACATCCTGGACTTTGTCACACAGCATTCTGGGCATGCAGTGATGAGAAAGACCGGTCCTTTCCTTCAGGAGCTGGCAGTTCATGGGGCGCCTGGGTGGCTCAGTCGTTAAGCGTCTGCCTTCGGCTCAGGTCATGATCCCGGGGTCCTGGGATGGAGTCTCACATCGGGCTCCCTGCTCGGCGGGGAGCCTGCTTCTCCCTCTCCCTCTGCCGCTCCCCCACTGTCTGTGCTCTCTCTCTCTCTCTCTCTCAGAAATTAATAAATAATATCTAAAAAAAAAAAAAAAAAGGAGCTACCGCTTCAGAGGGAGTAGGCTGACCTGGTCACCTGGGACTGAGGGGTTTCCAGGGACCTACGGCTTTTGGTGCTAAAATCAGAACAGTCCCAGGGTTGGTTACTCTGAGAGAGACTTGATGGTGCCATATAAGAAGGCCACGAGAGATTCATGCCACTGCAGAAAGAGTCACTCATTGAACTGGGAGAAATCAGGTAACGCTTCATGGAAGAGGCAGCGGGTACTAGTCACAGTAACCGCCATGGCCGGTGTGTGCTCCGTGAGCATTACCCCATCTAAGGCTCCCACCTCAGCCCTGGAGCCAGCACCATTACTGCTGCTCTTTGGTCGAGGGGAAACAGGCTTCGAGAGGAATGTCACTGGCCCAGTGGGGAGGGCAGGACCCCGTCCAGAACACAGGCTGTGACCTTCACCGCCTCCACCTGCAGGGTCTCGGGAGGAGCAGGAGCGTAGTGGGTGGGGAACGAGCGGGGCTCGTCGGAGGAGCAGGAAGGAGACACAGGCCCCGGGAGAGGGCTCTGCGGGCGACCTGGGGCAGGAAGCCGGCATTTTGTTCCAGGGCGTGAAGGCCTTTGCGTGCCGTGCTAAGGAATTTGGACCCCATGGACAATCAACAAAGGTTTCCGGGTAAGGTGAGCGTGGGCCGGGATGAGAGGGAAACCAGAAAAGCCTGCTCGGTTGGAGGGAAGAGGGGACCCCACGGGCCCTGTCGTCCGAGCTCGCTGGCCAAGAGGGGCCTCAGAGCGCCCAGCGAACTCCTGAAGTCCGGGGGCCTGGAGCTCACAGCTGAGAGTGAGCCCTCCCCATGCCTCCCTTACATGCCAGGAGGGCTTGGAGTGTTTGTGACACCGCCTGTGGGTGCTAGAGCAGACTCCAGCCCAGGCCCGTCTGGCCACCTGAACTCAAAGCCCCCGTTCAGGGACGCAGAGAAGCCCCCGGGACCAAGAGGAGCATATTAGTTTCTTATCACTGCTGTTAACACATATGCACAGTTCAGTGGCTTAAAACCACACACTTAGTCTCTCCAGTTCTGGAGGTCAGACGTCTAAGGTGGGTTGGCAGGGCTGGCTCCTCTGGAAGGCTCCAGGGAGGAATCCATTTACTTGCCTTTTCTAGCTCCTGCAAGTGGCCCACGCCCCTTGGCTCACGGCCCCATCCTCACCTCACTCGGACCTCTGCTTCTATCGCCACCCCTTTCTGGTAAGCACCCTTGTGGTTATGGTGAGCCCGTCCAGATAAACCAGGACAATCTCCTCGGCTCAAGATCCCTCACTTAGTTCCACCTGCAAAGTTCCTTTTGCATGTAAGGGAAGTGAGACAGGGCCATCTTGGGTGGGGATTGGGGCTGTCATTTTGTCTGCAGTGAGGAGACAGTGAGGAATCATGGCTGGGGCACCCAAAGAAGGCTCAGCGCCTGTGGTCTTTCAGTGAGCAAACCTCCTGAGAATCGTATGAGGGTTTAATCGGGCTCCTGGAACAGAGACGGCAAAGAACAGATCCTCGTCAAGAGTTGTGATTCTCTTTCAAGTAAACAGTGGGGCAACAGGGCTGGAGGGCACCCTCACAGTGTCATGGGCCGGGTCCTCTCAGTGTTGTCCCTGTGACCTCTTTGGGTGTTGCCCCGGACCGCATGTCCCAAATGGCTTTCTGTCGCGTCCAAATTCCAGGCAGTTGGAAGGGGCCGACGGGAGAGGGGAAGGTGTGTGTTTACTCTTCAAAGGTATGACATGGAAGTTCAGCCTTGGGTTCTATAACGTTCACGTTGGCCAAAACTCAGTCACGTGGTGACGCTCAGCTGCACAGAAGGCAGAGAGATGCTGTTCTTACTCTACGTGGACGGGTGCATAGCTCAGTGTTCTATGACTGCGGGAAACAGGGTAAATAGATGGTGGGGGACTACAGCCAGTGTCTGCCCCAAGCACCTACTAAGTTAGAACGGAACACGGAGAGGATGCTAAGGATACAGCAGTGAGGGCATCTTTGACGTTAGGCAGCCCCCAGATGTTCAGGGGAGACAGACGAGCAAACCAACAATTATAGTTTGCTCTAGTGGATGCCTGCCCAGTGTGCCATGAAAACCCCAAGGCCGGGTGTCTCCGTCTGCTCGGGCCACCATAATGAAACCCCACAGGCTGGGAGGCTTAGACAACAGACATTTATTTTCTCACAGTTGTGGGGGCTGGAAGTCCCAGATCAGGAGGCAGCATGGTCGGGTTCTGGTGAAAGGCCTTTCCCTGGCTTGTAGACAGCTGCCTTCTCACGGTGTGCTCACATTGCAGGGGGAGACACGGGCGGTGGGGGTGGGGGTGGGGGTGCTCGGGCATTCTTCTTATAAGGACACTAATCCCATCATGAGGGTCCCGCTCTCACGACTTCATCTAAACCGACTCATCTCCCAAAGGCCTCGTCTCCACATCGGGCACACTGGGCTTTAACATATTAATTTGGCCGGGGGAGGTGAGGGGGCCGGCGACACAGTTCTGTCCATAGCCCTGGCAGGTGGCTGGGCCTGGTGGGGGACAGGACAAAGGGTTAGAGTAGGTGTCCTAGGGAAGGTGGCGTCTGGGCGGAGTCTCCAGTAATCACTGTCCCTCCCTTTTTCTCTCTGCATCCCCTTGGTCTATGATCCAGTGTCCTCACAGTCTCCCCACCATGGTCTCCCTCTCTACCCAGAAGCATGTGGGTCCATGGCCACCCTCAAGGACTCTGTCCTGAACCAAAAGAAGCTCTTCCGTGAGTGTGTGTGTGTGTGTGCACGTGCGCGCGTGCGTGCTCCCATACATGCATGGCGGCTTTTTGTCACCCTCTCCCTGGAATCCACCCTACCTCCAAACAAATAAGCCACAACCCCCTAATGGGTCTGAAGAGGCTAGGTTGTTTCTTTTAGAGATTTTATTTATTTATTTATTTAACAGAGAGAGAGCGCACAAGCAGGGGGAGCGGCAGAGGGAGAGGGAGAAGCAGGCTCCCCACGGAGCAGGGAGCCCGACACAGGGCTCCATCCCAGGACCCCGGGATCATGACCTGAGCTGAAGGCAGATGCTTAACCAACTGAGCCACCCAGGTTGCCCCTGAAGATGCTAGTTTTGAAGCAAGGCAACAGCTTTAACAAAGCCTTCTGAGCAAAACTTGCCTTCTTTAACCACCACCCACTTGGAGGTCCCCACACTGGGGAGATGCATCTTTCATTACTCTGAAAATGTGATTCTTCTGCTCAAATTAACCAAGTACATAGCACCCACACATGCGTGCACACACACACACACACACACACACTCGTGCCCAAATAGACAGTTTCTCAGAAATGAGGATGCAGATGAGAGACTCAAGGACAGGCCTTACTTGCCCTCTGTCAGTTTACAAGAGAATTTATTCCACATATCCATCCATGAATATTTAGCAAGGCAACAATAACATCCAATGACACCCATGAGATACACAACTCAGAGAGCTCTCTCCCAGGAACATACACAATGCTTGATGTCAATGTTTTCACTGGACTGAATGTTTGAAATGCAAGCATTAGCTAACAATAATCCTCCCCTCCCCTCTCTGCCTTGTTCTCTCTTTTTATTTGTGTACCCAGCCATTTCTTCCATTTTTGATGCAAACCACTGAGCAAATTCTTTACAATAACAACAGATCCGGTGGGGTATGAGGACAGCTACCAAAGATTTCAGAAGCACTTATGGCACAAATGAATTTTCAGACATTCCATCTTTTCTTTTTGCTCAAGAAAACACACACGCACACATGCGCACGTACAAACATGCACATGCGTGTGCACACACACAGCCCACGTTAAGTAAGGGCCGTTCTAAGATTGGCTAACATTTGATAAAACCAGGAAAGCTGCAGACTTTTGACAAGCCCCTATGGCTGTTGAATAATGGCCCCCAAAGACACCCTGCTCCCACCCCCTGGAATCTGTGAATGTTGTAACATATGGCAAAGGCACTTTGCAGATGTGATTAAGTTAAGGATCTTGAGATAGGAATGTGACCCTGGATTATCCAGGTGGACCCTCAGAGTAATCATTAGAATCCTTGTAAGAGGGAGACAGAGCAAGAATATGGGAGGGGGAGGCCATGTGATGATGGAAGGCAGAGGAAGGGGACCACGAGCCAAGGGTTGCAGGCACCCCCCCTGAAACTGAGCAAGACCCCCAGAGCCTCCGAAGGAACCAGCCCTGTCAACACTTGACTCTATAGCCCAGTGAAACTAATTTCAGGCATGGGGCCTCCAGAGCTATAAGAGAAAGAAAATAGTGTTGTTTTCAGTCACTAAGGTTGTGGTAATTTGTTACAGCCTTGGCGGGAAACTAATACAGTCCCAATAGCTCCGGAGGCAGGTCTTTGTCTCCTCCACACACACGCTGGGGCATCTCCTGAGGGCTCTGCTGTCAGTGTGGGGCCACTGGAAACTACCCAGGTACTTGGGGCTTTTGCATTTGTGTGTATTTTTTTGAAGTTCTCTATTTTTCTAATAATAAAGTCAATAAAGGTCATGGTAGGAAACGTAAGATCTAAAGCAATTTGTAGGAGCATAACACATAAAAGATTACAACAATCGCCCATAATCCCACCCTACAGAAATAACTTTCTTAATAGCAATAATACAATTTGTACTTATAAGTTTAATTTCATGATTATTGTCTTTTTTTTTTAAAGATTTTATTTATTTATTTGAGAGAGAGAATGAGATAGAGAGAGAGCATGAGAGGGGAAAGGGTCAGAGGGAGAAGCAGACTTCCTGCTGAGCAGGGAGCCCAATGTGGGACTCGATCCCGGGACTCCAGGATCATGACCTGAGCCGAAGGCAGTCGCTTAACCAACTGAGCCACCCAGGCGCCCATGATTATTGTCTTAATATTGTCTCTTCTTCCACTCCTACCCTGACAGCAGATCCATCAAGGCAGGAACCCACTCGTTTTGCGTACTGTATCTCTAGCGAACAGCTCAGTGCCTGATAGACAGGGATCGATTGATGTAATGCATTATCATGGAATGAATGACCTCTACTAACATTTTGGTACATTGCGTTTCAGGCTTTTTTATATATGTATTGCATATTTTTTGTGTGTGCTTAAAAGGAAATTTATTTTTTAATTTATTTTTAATATTTTTCACATGTTTGATATCATGCTATATCTACATGGCTCTGGCCTACCTTCTTCACTTAACATTTTATCCTAGACATGTTCCAAAGTCATTAAATAGTCTTCAGAAGTTTATTTTAATGGCAGCCTAATAGGGATTTTTTGTTGTTGTTGTTAGCTTACTTCCTTCCCCCCCCCTTTTTTTCCCATTATAAACGGTACAGCAATGAACATCTTGGTGTGTAAACCTTTATCCACGTTTCTGATTATTTTCTCGAGGTAAATTCCTAGTCGAAACATTATAGGAACTGAGCACATCACCACCTATAAGACCTGCTCTCCATGCATGTCCATACTTTAAAACCAACTCTGTTACCAGGAGGGACCCTCTGGAACCTAGAACAGCAGTTCCCAAATTTGCGCGGCAAAGCCGATCAGCTCGGGCTTGGGGTTTTGGGGTTTTTGTTTTTTTAATTTATTTATTTACTTATTTATTTATTTTAGAGAGAGAACGAGCCAGACATGGGGCCCGATCCTACAACTGCAAGATCATGACCTGAGCCGAAACCAAGAATCAGGCGCTTAACCGACTGAGCCACCAGGTGCCCCGAACCGCTCGGGGTTATTTTTAAGCAAAGAATTTTGTCTGGGCAACAGGAGACCCAGGTTCTGGTATGAGCTTTGCCGGTTTCCAGCCATGCTGCTTTTCTCTGGGAAACCAAGGTCCTCATCTCTAAAACAGGGAGATTGAGTGATGACTTTGAACTCTCTTCTACCAAGAAACTTCTAGCAACCATTACAAAAGGGAAAGAGCCACTGAAAATGAGGGGCAAGTCATGCCAGATGACCGAATGTTGGTTTTAAAAGTCAGACGTATAGGGTTTGTAAACTCAAGCACAATAACACCAATAAGAAGGGTGTTGCCACTCTCCCATCTGCCGAGGCATGGCATTCCTAGTATTTGTATGTTTGCTGAGAAATGATCTGAGAAGTTCAAAGAACGTGAAAAACCTTCCCGTCGATTAACAGACTGAAAAAGTGGTCAGCCCGACTTAGCAGATGCAACAAATTCCATTTATGTGGAGTCAGAGGAACAAAGGGTGATTTGTGGAAAATGCCTTTGGCAGGATTTTGAGCTATGCTATTGATATTGCTGTATTCCAAAGCTTTGAAAAGTGTAATCCATCTGTGATGTATGGAACAACTCTTTAGCCGGTGCCCTTCCAGTCTAATTCCTGCTTCTAAATGAGACCCCTAAATCATTCCAGACAGCTCCTGCTTCACCGTTCTCCCGGAAATTTGTTCATTCATTCCTTTATTTGGTCAGTTAGTCACTCAACAAACATTTGCTAGGAGGCTGGGCCAACCCCTTTGTGGGGCTCCAAGGAGATGGGATTGAATGAATAGTGCATGATGTCGCTGGCCTAATGGGAAGACCACAAAAACCCCAGTGCTGCCTCCACGTGGCCGTATGACCTGCAAAAATGTACCTCTCCCTTTAGCCTCCCGGAAAGGGGGCCACTAATACGTCACCTGGGCCTGTTGAGAAGAATGCCTCAAGGTATGTCACATGTGTGGCCTAGAGCCTGAGATGGAGGAGACCGTAAATGCCTGTCCCTCCACCCCGGTCCTGAAACACTCATAGCTAGGTAAACAGGACAGGAATAGAGGTTACTTCAGCCTAACAGAGGTTTTTACAAAGTTCGGTGTAAGCGAAAGACACCACCAGGTGCTCTAGTTTTCCTAGATGCACAAAGGGGAGTGTTCAAAGTGTGTTGGGGCAAGGGGGCGGGTTTGCAAGCCCTGAGTGCCACCCTGTCAAGCCAGTGTTTGGAATCGGTCTGCAAGGAGCCAGGCTGATGGATGTTTATTTAGACACACATGACAGCAGTATTATACGCCCAGAAGAGGGAAGGGGGCCAGCAGGACTGATAGATTTCATGTGCAAGGAAGAATTCCGGCTGTGAACTGTGAAGTGAAAGATGCCTCATTTTCGGGTTCGGCTATGGGAAGAGATGGAATGTATTTCTCCCAACAGCTAGAGAGTTGGGCCAAGTTGGGCTGCAGAAAGGATTTCTGCATTTGGA